TCATCTCAAGAGACCAGATTATCAAGCCCAACCAGAGGTTTTGAGAGGTTTATTCAGGTTGAACCAAAGTTATTTGGTGAGACCCCATTAAATAATATATTTGTCAAAATCAAAATCTTTTTTGCAGACCAACTTTGATTTGTCGGCTTGGGTGGTTGCAGTGTTGGTGAAGCTTGTTGGTGGCCGGGAAGGGCTTTACTGTATCCTATAGGTAGTTTTTCTTTTGTCTGTGTGCTAGGCTTATAGATTGTGTTGGTGTCTCTTTGGTATTTATCTGTGTGTGTTTCGACCAATCTTCTGTGTCCCTGTCAATTTCGCATGTTGCAGCCTTGCAAGTAACATAAGATTGGTTTAATTTTATCTTGTACAGATTTTAGTTCCGTCATGTGTAGATTTTTNTTCCGTCATGTGTAGATTTTTTTTTTTTTTGGTATGTTTTGCTTGTTTTGGGTTGCTTCTTATATTTGACTCCCATGTTGGAAGGAGAGCACGGTTGTGACTCTTCCGATCAACGCCTCACCATTGTATTTAACATATAGATTATTATGTTATATATATCCCATTGAATATGCTTGTGTAATCTTTTTTTTAGTTTCATAAAGTATTTGCCGCTAAAAGAAATCCAATAAAAAGTTAAAAACGCTAAACCCATTGAATATCACAAACTGTACCAATCAACCCATACACGTGGCCTAATCTTCCTTCATTAATATAGTTTACTTCGAATCCTGAGCGTCCACGTACTGAAACTTCCATCAACGTACACGTTGCCCGATCCATGGGCCCCGTTTTGTTACCTCTCATGTCAAAAAAAGGCCACTATTCCTACTCTCATTGGCTGCCAGAACGGCCCAATGTTTCTTCCCATTGGTACCATCTTGCCTAAATCTATCTCTGGGCCCACATCTCCGGCACGTATCAATCTCAACCAATTATATCTCTCGCACGCATGGTGCAGTTATGGTATTTTTCCTCGCACGTGCCTAGGCCCTTTACGCCTGCATAAATCTGAGAGCTCCCCACCTGTGTAGTCATTCATCTTTACAAACCACAAACCCATTTCAAAGTTTCTAATCTAAATGCGTAACTCTTTACTTTTTTTTTTTTAATTAGTAGCAAAAATAATAATATTTAAATAAAATGAACTGTGTGGCCAGGTACGCCGGTGGCGCGTACGATATGTCCAAAATGGACAGGATAATGCTCAAGTTCCGGCCGATTGCTCCCAAACCGGTTTCGGCCGATGGATCCGTTTCCGGCGGTTCCAGCAGCGTCTCCGAGAGCGGCCTCGCGCGTGCCAAAACTGGCCGCGTCAAAAGACGGGGCGAGGCCAGAAAAACCCGGAGAAATAATTGTAGCAAGAGGAGAAAACCTCCGCCGGAGAAGGCCGATTCCGGAGGATCCGTTACCGGCGGCGAGGAGGTTGTGAGAACTCTGCGGCTGCTTCCGGAGGAGCCTTGTGTGATCGAGAATCGGAAGGTAGCGCCGCCAGATCTGAGTTATCCGCTGTGGTTGAGCTTCGGAGACGGGGGGATCTCGGCGGAGGTGCAGGGATCTGTCGTTCAGTCGTGGGTGAAAGTGGAGCGAGTGACGGAGGCGTGGGCGGCGGTGGGGATGGGGTGGACGGACGAGGAGAAGGTGATGGTGCTGGACGGGGACACGTGTCCGGGGTTCGTGTCGGACGGGCTGAATCGGGTGACGTGGACGAACGCGGCTTACCGCCGGATGGTGGCGGAGGAGGGGGCGGAGGTGGCGGCATGGGTGGTGGTAGAGCGGGATGTGACGCTGCCGGTGGGGTGTGCGGGGTTCACGTGCGAGGTCAGGGTTGTCACGTGCGGGGAGAAGAAAGGGAACAAAACGGTACCGTGTGACGTGTGGAGGATGGACTGCGGGGGATTTGCATGGAGACTCGACACTGCCGCCGCTCTCTCGCTTTGGGTCGGCCATTGACATTGAAATAATTAAGTTACTAATTAATGGGTTAATCTGGCGGATTATGATCTGATTAAATCTCTAATCAGAAATGAAAGAAGGCCTGGTTGATTAATCTCCAAAGTCTGACTGA